AATCAGCCTCTTATCTCCACCTAATCTGCTTCCATATTTGCTTGTGACCATAAATCAACCTATTATCCATCTGAAACCAAGTTCTTCACCCCACCCTAATTCCTGTCATCCTGACACATCTCTTTCTTGATTCCTATTGCTACTTTGCTCCCCTAGAAAGACTATAATTCGTGTCCTAGCTCTTTGACTGGGGGTCCCAGGTATAAAAGGTACATGACAGGTGATGAAGTCTACTGCATTGTCCTTGGGTTCAGGGTCAGTGAGAACAACTAAGGAGCAGAGGAGGTGGGGAGCTGGCTTGGCTGTGTGCCTTCCAACTCTTAAGTCACTGAAACTGTTTAGTTTCTAAATGACCCTGACCTTTGGTAATAATATTTCATAGCAGCCTCTCTCCAGCTAATATGGCAACAAGCCATGCAAAGTCATGGGCATCATTTTGAGAGACATTATTTTGGAGGATAAGGGTGGTGGAATTGTCTAGGGCTTGGCAGGTAATTAAAAGAAGTTGATTTTTTTCAAACAAATATTCCTGCCAATTAGAATTTAATCTTCCTCTAAATCAGCAGTCTCTAAGGCTCTTTTATTTCTTTCATCCTATTACCTACTCTGTCAAAAAACATGGGTCTCACCTTAATAGGAACCAATCCTCCCCCCCTTTTTTTCCTAGAACAATGTTTACATTTTGGCAAGCCTTCTCTCATGTGGCTTAAAGGACCACATGTGTTTGCAGGCATTCTCTCAAGCAGTTTAGAGAACATAAAACTTGCAGTAATATTTTTGGGAGTAAATTTTATTGTTATGGCTTTAAAACACAATCAAATAAAAACAAGAATTCCATTAGTAGTTGAATATTGTAATAATAGAGTTGAGAATAAATTTTACTGCTATAGGATCTATAAAAGAGCAATAATAAAAAACACTATTATTGTGAATAAATTGTGTTGAGATGACTAACTAGAAAGCTATAAAACACAATGATAAAGAATAATCTAATCACTAGGGGAGACGAGATAATAATTCACCCTTGTTAGTGAGGGACTCGTGGTTCCAGTTCATTGGCCCCAAGTTCTCCAGGTTACTGCTCACATTCCATAAGCTGGCAGAAAGATAATCTTTGGACAGTGGGCTGGCAGGAGACCACAGAGTACAGTGAAATTGGACATGGGGATCGAGGAAAATCCAATTTTCAGCGACTGTTGGGAAAACCCTGTGTAGTAATGCCAAGTGTCCTCACAACATACTTAAAAAATTATTTGCAGGTTTCCACTAGCAGTTTGTGTGCATTACTTACCTGTGCATTTTCACATCTTTCGTATTTTTATTTGTCTTCTTTTTCTTAGAGTAGCTGCATGGGATTACATATCTGCCAGCAGGGCTACCCTATTCTAATCTTGCTTTCTATTTAAATCACTCGTTCACCCCTCTGCCCTGAGTCCATATTGGTCCCTTTTCAATGCACAGGAAAATGCAAAGAAAACACTCTCAACTCTTCTGTTCCACTCTCCCTGTATGGAACACACAGTTCCATTAAAACTCTCTCACTAGAGTTAGAAGTACTGAGGTGGCTGCCCTGTACCTACCTAACTTTGGGAGAGGGGAAGAGTGTCTTGGGTGTTGCATTTCACCCATTGTGAACATCATCAAAATTCAAAGTCAAGATTTCCAAATTGACAGTATCCCAAGGGGGTGATGGAGGATCATAACAGTGCAGTTTCCTTTAAGGTGTCATTAACCTGTGCTGATGAACTTTTCTAGCCTCACTGCCTCCATTCTCTCACTTCCCTTTCCTTCATTAACCAACTCCAGTCAAGTTTTGGTCCCTACCACCTGCTACATGCTGACTTAAGTTGCTCTTTTCTTTTTTTAAATTTAGCTTTATTATTGAAAGTATTACAGGTGCCCCCTCCTCG